TCGTCGAGGACCGGGCCAGATGGGACCAGTGGCGACGGCTCGCTGGAGGAACCCTAGTGCTGCATGCAGGGGATCGAGGTAGAGGGAAAGGGGAGAGGAGATGCAAGCGGGCAGGGCAATGAATGCTTGCATGTTTGTTTTTACTTGAGGGTCAGGTGTGACACGGGCGTCAACAGTTGCATTTTGAGTGTAATATAGGTAGACAACAGAGTCATTTCACTATTCCCCTTCCCTTCAATTTTTAGTGAGGTTCTACCCGAAACACCCCCCTCCAAAGCGAAATTAGTTAAGCCCAAGCCCATAACTCAAAAATGACTTCTTTACATCTTTTATGGCTTATTTTGACAATATGCCCTGAAAAGGCGGAATCGAACTGGCCCTTAACCTGCAATTCAATTGTGCGTGCAATGATGAATAACTCCTGCCTGCTATCTGTACATTTAGGCATCATCATACATGGCATAACCTAATACATGTGCATTCCATTGTAGAATCTGGTATATGCAATGTTTATGTTAGTTCATACGTTGCACATGATGTTTAAATGCCCCTTAAATCTAGTCAGTCAAGTGATCGTCTTTAAGCCTCCTTCTTGGCTTCTTTTCTTGATATGTAAGATTTGCTCACACATCTGTTCAATTGCTTGTTTGTATCAGCCAGCCATACTAGGAATGTTTTCTTTGATTACTTGATGTTCTTGACCTAACACTCTAACAGAGCTTGTCAACGATTTAAACACTAAGGGCTGCTATAGTGGGGCCTTGTCTAACTCATAGGTGACATAAAGGTTTGGCTGTACACTATAGTAGGCTCGCCAAGAGTACCTGGAGATCCAGTTCGAAGGTATGCCTAGTTTTTACATAGTGCAGACATAGTAAATCTTCATTTCATTGTGTGCAAGTGCAAGAGATGCGGCATGTTTCATTATGTGGTGTTGTTTTGTTATAATCTCATTCTTTTGTGTTCACAGACTGGAAAGTATGCATATTTATCTTCCAAGGAGACGAGTAACTAGTTTGTGTCACCTTGTAGAGAGGGTGCAATGAAGATAAGATTGAGGATTTCCAAGTACAAGATGTTAGGAAGGAGCCTTGCAAGAGAAGTAGGAGCTGCGCTGAGCCTCTTCAACCTGCTAAGGTAAGTCACTGTATGCAACTCAACAGTTCAATTCCTTGTTTGTTTCAGGCATAGTTAATTTTCTCTTTTCAATTGCTTTATTTGTCCTCAGTTAATGAGATGCCCAAATAATCATGCCTGATGTTCGGTACTTGTATCACTATTAGTTGACATAATTAAAAGCCTTACCATTTAATTACTCTGCCGAAGTGTGCCTGCAACTTTGAAGTCTATTAACCAACTATTATTGCATGAGGCTCACAATCTAGTTTATACTACGCTAATGATTGCATAGTTTTGCCTGTTGTAGTATGTTTGTATGAAACCCTCTGCTGTTCATTATGCTCCCTAAGACTTTAATTGAGGCACAGAATGGCCAACTGCTTGCTTACTTGTACGCAACGTGCTGTCTAAATTTGTAACTTGTCTGTGTTTTCGATTGGGTCCCAACATCATGCTCCTCTGGTGAGCTAAGAGGGATTTCTGTATGCAGGCCGCACAGACTATCTTTTTTATAATTTTTAAAATACCACCTGCTTATGCTTCATGACGTGTAACAATTTTTTTGAAAGTGACGTGTAACATTATTGTTAGTCCTGTTTTGCCATGTAGTACAAAATAGTGGCTTGTTCGCATCACTGTTGTAACTATATTTTTGCCCTAGTCATGTGTACTTACAGAAACATTTCAGGATGAAGTGACATCAACACAAAGATCTGCGAGCAGTGCGGCATGGCGTTACTGAATGATTATGGATTGGAATTGGAATGTGCTGATGTTCTCGAGCATCAACTAGAGGTGGCAAGACAACGTGTACATGATTGTCAACGTATAATCAACAAGTTGAGACTGGACATGCAGGTATTAGATGCAGGAGTCAAAAAAATGAAACAAGACACTGACGTAACCATGAAGGAATTGGATATTTTGCAGACTGAAATTTGTGCTATCTGAATCCGGCCAATCCTATTTTTTGAAGAGATTATAGTTCAAATTGAGTTAAGTTGATGCGTGTTCATGATGTATGAGCTGTATTTGCCCAGTGTATGTAATTTGTTGTTTGTGTATGCTTTATTATCACCTGTGCTGAACCATAATGCCCAGTGGGTATAATCGGCTGTAATTTCTTTATTGTATAGTGTAGGATTATTCTACCTTTCTATGCCTTGATCTCTTTGTTGTATAGTGTATGCTTTTAGAGGTGATAGTATTGAGTAGGATAATTCTTTGAATATGCTATATCGTTCAAACGGGGGCCAACTCGCCCGACCATGGCCCTTCACGGGCCGTCGGATCCATGGGCCTTCTACGTCTCGTAGGATCCATGGGCCTTCTACGTCTTGTAGGATCCATGGGCCTTCTACGTCTCATAGGATCCATGGGCCGCTGACTCATTTATGGGTCTTGTACGGGCCTTTAATGGGCCATAGACGGGCCTTTAATGGAAATCGTACATTTTATGGGCTGACCATAACGGGCCGTTAATAGGCCGTATTTGGTGATGCTAGGAAAATGGCCCAACAGACTAACGGTCCACAAACGGGCCGACTGTAACGACGGGCTGAATTTGGCCCACAAGCAGAAAATGACAGTAAAGTACCTTAAAGGTCAAACTAAGTTGAATAAACGACATGCTAAATGGAGTGAATCTATTGAGTCTTTTCCTTATGTGATCAAGTACATTAAGGGCAAAGAAAATGTTGTGGCGGATGCTCTTTCCTACATATGCATGCTTGTTACTCAACTTGAGCTAAATGTTATTGGCTTTGAGCATATTAAAGATCTTTATGCAAATGATCCTTCCTTTGCACTTCCATATGCAAATGTCTTACTCACACTTGTTGGGAGAACTATTATCTCAAGGATGGCTACCTTATGTGTGCTAACAAACTTTGTATACCCGAGTCTTCTCCTCGTTTGTTACTTTTGCAAGAGGCTCACGGAGGTGGACTTATGGGACATTTCGGGCATGACAAGACCTTCGCCACACTCTCCTTCAATTACTTTTGGCCAAAGATGTTCCGCAACGTGGCACGTTCACCAACAAATGCTCTACATGCCGCAAAGCTAAGTCCAAAGCTCAATCTCATGGATTAAATATGCCACTTCCAATTCCCTATCAAACATGGGAAGATATTAGTATTGATTTCGTGATTGGTTTGCCTAGGACTACAAATGGAAAGAATTATGTATTTGTTGTTATGGACCGATTCTCCAAAATGGCACATTTCATCCCATGCAATAAGATAGACGATGCTTCACATATTGTTAATCTTTTTGTAGGGAAATCTTGAGGTTGCATGGAGTACCAAGGACCATTGTGTCGGACCGGGACGTCAAGTTCTTAAGCTAATTTTGGAAGACCATATGTGCCAAGCTCGACATCAAGATTCTTTTATCCACGGCCTATCATCCCCAAACCGATGGCCAAATGGAAGTCACCAACCCGACGCTATCTATGCTCCTACGTGTGTTGATAAAGAAGAACATCAAGGAGTGGGAGGAGTGCTTACCCATCACCGAGTACGCCTACAATTGAGCTTGACACACTACTACCGGCAAGTCCCCCTTCGAGGTTGTCTACGGATTCAACCCATTGTCCCCATTGGACATTCTACCTCTTCCACTCCAAGAACGCGCAAACATGGATGCAAGTGCAAGGGCAAGTTTTCTCAAAAAGATGCATGAAGATACAAGGGCAACGATCGAGCGTCAACACTACTAGGAAAAAGGCTACTAGCAACGCGGGTATCCGCGCTACTAGTATCGCGCTACAGCTAATAGTTAGTAGTAGCGTGCATTAAACCCGCGCTACTACTAACTTTGTTACTAGTAGCGTGTGCCACCCACGCTACTACTAACGTATTAGAAATTAAAAAAATAAAATCAATCAATTCCATTCTATCACACAATTGTCGTATCTACTATCACAGTTCCTCATTGTAGAGGCAACTCATGTATAATTCATATCTTTTACATAAGTAAGAGTGTAAACATAGTATTGTGCGTGTCAGCTACCTACGTAAGTGGTCCTTGCCATGCAAATTCAAAAATTTACCACTACTTCTAGACGTCAGAGACTGAGACACGTTGTTATGGTCCGATCCAAAAATTGGCTCACTCCTCAATGCGTGGCGCCTTCCCGGCCTGATCTCGCGGCCTGCAGCTGCGACGAAACATAGCGGGCAGCCTTGACGAGCCACACTTGACCGATGGCAGCCGCCGCCTTGAGTTGTGACGCCGTCACGTCCCTCGCACTAGCCCTCAGCTCAAGCAGGCCCCGGTCGATGTCGGCCTCGTGCCACGCCACCAGCGGATGGAGGAAGCCATCGTACACGTGCCCCGCACCCTGAAATCCGAAGACCATTAAGATTCAGATTCAGAATTGGCCACATAACGAATCAGGTCTATCTGAAATGTGGATCATCTCTCGGGCTCGGGTTGTCTGACCGACTGCTTACCCGTGTGCTGGGCTACCAGAGGTAGATGATGAGCAGTAGCTTCGCCTCTCCGTACATCGGCAGACACGACACCGTCCAGTCCACGAACCTCTCGACGACCGTCGGCATCGCCACTAGAACCCTGCAGTATTACCAACAGTGGTTCAGAAACTTCAGAAGAATGACACGGAAAAATAATGCGGTGCATGTCGATGAAAAAGACAATCAGTGAAAAAGACAAGGAGCATACTAACCCCTTCACGCAGTGAAAATATAATGTAGAGTAGTAAAAGTGGAACATGGCTCAGCATTTGCATTGATAGGGTCAGATATACAATTGGGGATCCACTAGGTAAATAAATAATTATCATAAATCAACAACATAGTTTGCATTTAACATACTTTAAATAGTGTCTGGCATCCTTGAGGAAAACCCAAACGTTGCTACCTTCTTCGGGGCTCGAGCATGAACTGATGCGCTCTGCTTCTTGTACATACGGCTGTGCTGCTACGATGTTTATGCAAGGGGGTCAGTGTTAAAATAACACTGAATTTTCTATGAGAGGGGATGGAATGCCTTAATTCACAATACTAACCTGATTGACCACCTGTTGCCACACAAATCTATGGTGTTCAGGAGTTCGGTAAAATGGATCAGACAATGCCCCAAACTGCTTAAAAGGAAGATACAGAAAGAGATAAGTACTTGTAGAGCAGGTCTGTACTAATGATACTAAATATACTATTCTCAAAAAGTAAACATAAAACTAAATTCGGTAGGTAGACCTGACAATTGTTGTCTCCGTTAACCTTGAGCTCAACCAGGCCATACAACACCAACTTGTCGAGAAGTCTTCGGTGATCTGAAAAGGCTGCATTTATCATATTATCTTAACCAGAAACAGGGCAAAATCCAAGAATTCCATAAAGAGCAAATATTTAGCATGTGGATCATCACATTTCAAGTAGAAGCACTATAGGTGAAATCAACTCGTCAGATTAGATATACAAGCACACTGCCTATGTGCCCTTGAACTCTCCAATACGAGATCATCAATCCATGCTAAACTACAGCATGCTTGGAATCATGTACACAACAGTCACACCAAGTGTAGATGCACGACTCAGAACAAGTAGTAGCCATAAATAAACAGAGTGAAGCAAACAAATTAACATCAAATCAATCGACCCACTCGGATCACAAACCATACTTGAGCAGTTTTAGAATCAGCAAATGGGGGAGGCTCACCGGGGGCGTAGAAGCTGAGCATCCGGTTGGTATGGTACCTGACAGACAGAGGAATGGAAATCCATCAGTAATGAGGAGTGGAGAATGCATGAGGTTACGATCAGTGGGAGAATCCGTGTGCCTATGGTTGGTGGATCGGCCAGGATTTCATGGTTAACAAGCCCCTCATACATATGTCTCTCCGACGGCACAGGCATTCGACTGGATCTCGAGCTAGCACGACACAGAAATTGGGAATCGGAGCAGAGAGGCACGACACAGGCAACCTTTTTCTCAATCACGCGTCAAAATGTGTGACATTTTGTGCTAAGGATTGGGAAGAACCCGCCAAGGCCTACAACACCACAAAGGAGACAAGGATAAAAAATGAAACAAAACATAAACCGGCATGTTGGTTGGTCAAGCAGGCAGATAAAGCTTTTTTAGGTCTATCGCGCGAGCTGAGCCGCCGTAAGTTTGCCTCATTGGAGACTACCTCTGTCAACGCCTTGCCATCCTGAAGGGAAAAGTTTAGAAAGTTCTAGCTACCTCCGATTCCTAATTTTGGTCCTGATGTACACAGCAAGGATTGGCTAATACCCAGGATCTGCTGGTTCTTTTATTGGTATTTCACCACTAATTTGGTGATTACTGCCTCCTAGAACCAAGTATGGACGATTTACAATCATTACTAGAAACTTAGGCAACATGCATAGAACTTTAGGGATAATTTCATGGACTGATTAGGCATCGCCTACTTGCTCACATGTGAAGGTGCAACGCTAGACTAATGGAAATAAACATTTGGCAATACTTACACTCTCCCCTCTTTGACTGCAACACACGTGCAGCAGCATTGTGGCATTTCCACAAACACCTCGTGACCACAAGGAGGCCCCTGCCGATGAACTTGACTTCAAACTCGTCGAACTGGCACAAACCATCAGGGGATGAGAGGCAAATTTCTAGGATGACGGTGACTTCTTACCAGTCTGACGCTACTGGAGCCGAGCACTTCATCACCAGAGGCGAGACAGACTGGCGTGGTAGGCGTCCTGCCATAGCGAAGTGGCCACGTCACTTCGGCCGCCCCAGCTCGCCAGCACGTCATGGACGGCCCGCTCATTCTGCATCGACAGCTGCTGGGCCCTCCCGTCGTCGGACTCGTTCAAGGCGCACTCCCCCTTCCCGTGCAACGTACACTCGCAGGAGCTGGAGCCTCCGGCGGCAGCGGCAGAGCTCGCCCGCCCAACTATGCTAATCACCAACGCTTGTTGAGGTCGGAAGCGGAGGCGGAGGCGCGGCGGGGAGCACGGTGGTCTCCGGGACGCGCTTGTTGAGGTCGCGCAGGATCTCGACGAGCGGACGCGTGATCCCCAATGGCGCGGCATCCAACGGCACCACGTAGTTGCCAGTCGAGGCCGCCGCGGCGAGCACCACCCTGCCCCTCCTCTGCCACTCCGGCGCCACGGACATGCGCACGCGGCTACGGCGGAAGCCGCGAGGGGAGCGGCGAGGAGGCAAGGGTCCGCGCGAGGGAGGCGGCGGCGGTGGCTTCCATGGGGATCGGAGCGGAGGAAGGTGGGAGCTTGGGGGAGTGTTGCGCGCAGCCGGTGCTTGCCGGAACTGGCCTGCATGGGTGGTGGCGGCGGCGAGGAGATTGTGGGGAGAGGAGCAGGTGAGTTCGTGAGAGAGTTTTTTTAGGGATGAGAGAGAGAGTGGTGGGGTGGGAATGGATCGGGCCGGGGTGGATGGTGCAGTAGTGGACACGCTTAGTAATAGCTACACACTTATTAGTAGTGTAGGTTTTATACCCCTCGCTACTACTATGGCCTGTCCCGGGGACATGGTGGAGACCACTTAGTAGCAGCACGGGTTTATACCCCTTGCTACTACTATCAACTTAGTAGTAGCGCGGGTTTTATACCCCTCGCTACTATTAATTAGCAGTAGCGTCTCCTTTTAAACCGCGCTACTGATAAGTCTCTATGTATAAGGTTTTCCCTAGTAATGCAAGTACACTGCATCGCCACCAGGCTCAACATCAACAAGATACCAATGGTGTTCCAACCAGGAGATCGCGTATGGCTTCATCTTTGCAAGGACCGTTTCCCCAACGAGTGCAAGTCAAAGCTACTACCATGAGTCGACGGACCCTTCAAGGTGCTAGCACGCTACAACGACAACGCTTGCAAAATTGACATCCCACGAGACAAGTATAACATAAGCGACATCTTCAACGTCAAAGACTTGGCCAAGTACCATGGTGATAAAGACCACGATCAGTGGACAGATCTCTCCCAAGGGGGGGAGATGATGCGGAGCATCCTTCCATCATCCCCATGGATTCTACACAAACACATCAAGCCCATGACAAGAGCTAGAGCACGCGCAATATAAACCAAGGTGAACTCTTTCCTACCTGACATGCCTATGAACACAAACGAGACTTGGGTGTTACCTCATCAAAATGTATTGTGTGTACTTAGGTACAAAGAGGAACACTTCCAAGTAGCTAAGGAGCATCACCAAGTCCAAGGAGAAGCGCCCCAAGTCGCCAAGGAGGAAGGAGTCCACAAGAATCTGGACAGAAGGTCCCAGGCGACCCCGTGCGCACGGGCCCCCGAGACCCCGTGCCCATGGGCTACACAGGGAGCTACGGCTATAGCACCCCATGCGCATGGGCGTGTATAGTGCGCACGGGACCCCGTGCACATGGGCCCTACAGGATGAGCGGCTGAGATTGCTGTTGGGCCTCCACTTCGCATCCACTTCGTCTCCTACCTCCCCAAGCCTATATATTTTGTACCTAGACCATATGTTAGGGTTAGCAAAGTATATGTGAGATATTTGTGAGCTTTGCTCCTTCTACCTTTCGTCTTGTGGATCAAGACCCCTTTAGGGAAGAATCCTTGTGGATTTCAACCGTGTGGTGTTCTCTATGGGAAGAATTAGAGACAAGGAAGAAGAAGGGTTAGGAGACGTAGGATCTTCATCCAACCGCCTGAAATGGTCGACTGACCCAAATGACAAAAGTCACGCGAATTGCATGCAGACAAGCCTTTATATTCAGTACCATCATCGTAGCTGCTTAGCACTGCACCTGAATCCATCAAGCTAAACAATGTGCCACTCATAATTCAAAACTTGTTGCTCAAATATGAATCTGATATGATGCTGATATTACTAAAATAGATAACGTTTAATTGTTCAGCTAATGTTCCTACTTTACTTTTGAAAAGCACGTGCACCACATATAGAGAGACAACAGGGAGTTGCATTCTTAATGCACTCCGGTTCATCATGTGTGGGCACTGCGCAACGAACATTTTATTATCCAAAATCTGCTTGCTCTTCTTTAGCATGTTCATCTTCCGTTCTTCTTTAATAAGTACTCTCTCCGTTGCTAAATACAAGTCTTTGTATAGATTCCACCATGGACTACATATGGAGCAAAATGAGTGAATCTACACTCTAAAATGTATCTATATACATCTGTATGTGATACATAGTGGAAATCTCTACAAAGACTTATATTTTGGAACGGAGGGAGTGTGATAGTAGTATAGTATGTTCCTTTTAGTGAAGATGAGCAGGGACATTTGTAGTGTAGAGGTCTATATGGTCGGTTGTGATGGACACTTTGAACTCTTCGGGCCTCTTTGATTCATAGGATTTTGTAAACATGGGAATAGGAATTGTAGTGGCCTGCCCACTTGAATCCTATAAGATTAGCAAGGAAATGCGGGGAGTTGTGTCTCCTTTGAGAGTTACACTGATATTAATAGTACCGCACCTTAAGTTGAAGAGAGCTGGTATCTGAAGCCTTTCTAGCCGTACCGGCAATACTAGCACATATATTCCAGCAAGTTCCACTTTGCTGATTTTACTCCTGATGCTTATGGTTTTCTCATTATATCTACACTATGATCTGTGTAGCTGCTTTGTGTCGCACTAGCAGCAGTCCACTCTTGAAGCTAAACAACAGACCAATCAAAAGTCCAAAGCTTACTTCTTCAAATACGAATTGTGATATGATACTGACATTAGTTAACAGACACACATTTAATTGGTCACGTAATGCTCCCACTTGATTTTCCAAATGCACGTGTCCACATATAGAGAGACATCATGGAATTGCATTTCTTTGGGCACTCTGATTCATCATGGGTGGGCAACCAACATTGTATAGAAAGAAGGGGAATCTCAATAATATGCTTCCTCTTTTGTTCTTTAACATGTTCCTCTTCTGTTCTTCTTTAGTAAGCACAGTATGTTGCTTGTCGGGAAGGGGAGCAGGGACATCTGCAGTCGACACCTCTATTGGGCCAGTTCTGCTAAATGATTTTGCACTTCGAGTTGGTCTGCCATGAAGGAAATATGCCCTAGAGGCAATAATAAAGTTATTATTTATTTCCTTATAATCATGATAAATGTTTATTATTCATGCTAGAATTGTATTTACCGGAAACATAATACATGTGTGAATACATAGACAAACAGAGTGTCACTAGTATGCCTCTACTTGACTAGCTCGTTAATCAAAGATGGTTATGTTTCCTAACCATGAACAATGAGTTGTTATTTGATTAACGAGGTCACATCATTAGTAGAATGATCTGATTGACATGACCCATTCCATTAGCTTAGCACCCGATCGTTTAGTATGTTGCTATTGCTTTCTTCATGACTTATACATGTTCCTATGACTATGAGATTATGCAACTCCCGTTTACCGGAGGAACACTTTGGGTACTACCAAACGTCACAACGTAACTGGGTGATTATAAAGGAGTACTACAGGTGTCTCCAATGGTCGATGTTGGGTTGGCGTATTTCGAGATTAGGATTTGTCACTCCGATTGTCGGAGAGGTATCTCTGGGCCCTCTCGGTAATACACATCACATAAGCCTTGCAAGCATTACAACTAATATGTTAGTTGTGAGATAATGTATTACGGAACGAGTAAAGATACTTGCCGGTAACGAGATTGAACTAGGTATTGGATACCGACGATCGAATCTCGGGCAAGTAACATACCGATGACAAAGGGAACAACGTATGTTGTTATGCGGTCTGACCGATAAAGATCTTCGTAGAATATGTAGGAGCCAATATGGGCATCCAGGTCCCGCTATTGGTTATTGACCGGAGACGTGTCTTGGTCATGTCTACATTGTTCTCGAACCCGTAGGGTCCGCACGCTTAAGGTTACGATGACAGTTATATTATGAGTTTATGCATTTTGATGTACCGAAGGTTGTTCGGAGTCCCGGATGTGATCACGGACATGACGAGGAGTCTCGAAATGGTCGAGACGTAAAGATTGATATATTGGAAGCCTATATTTGGATATCGGAAGTGTTCCGGGTGAAATCGGGATTTTACCGGAATACCAGGAGGGTTACCGGAACCCCCCGGGAACCATATGGGCCATCATGGGCCTTAGTGGAAAGGAGAAAGGGGCAGCCCAAGGGGGCTGCGCGCCTCCCCCCTTCCCCTAGTCCTATTAGGACTAGGAGAGGTGGCCGGCCACCCCTCTCCCTCTTTCCCCCTTGGGAATCCTAGTTGGAATAGGATTGGGGGGGGGGGGAGTCCTACTCCCGGTAGGAGTAGGACTCCTCCTGCGCCACCTCCTCCTGGCCGGCGCCTCCTCCCCCCTTGGCTCCTTTATATACGGAGGCAGGGGCACCTCTAAACACACAAGTTGACACAAGTTGATCCACGTGATCGATTCCTTAGCCGTGTGCGGTGCCCCCTGCCACCATATTCCTCGATAATACTGTAGCGGAGTTTAGGCGAAGCCCTGCTGCTGTAGTTCATCAAGATCGTCACCACGCCGTCGTGCTGACGAAACTCTTCCCCGACACTTTGCTGGATCGGAGTCCGGGGATCGTCATCGAGCTGAACGTGTGCTCGAACTCGGAGGTGCCATAGTTTCGGTGCTTGATCGGTTGGATCGTGAAGACGTACGACTACTTCCTCTACGTCGTGTCATCGCTTCTGCAGTCGGTCTGCGTTGGGTACGTAGACAACACTCTCCTCTCGTTGCTATGCATCACATGATCCTGTGTGCGCGTAGGAAATTTTTTGAAATTACTACGAAACCCAACAGTGGCATCCGA